AAAAAAAAAAAAAAAAATCACAACAGGCCTGTGCTATGCATCTTGCAGTAAGAAAATACCTTGGCATTGTTGGAGAAGCTCAGAAAAAAGGAGTATAAGTGCAAAGGATAAGTATACCATAACTATTACTAAGGAAAAAAGACACAAGTGGCAGATGAGAAATAGCCTACCAGAATATTGTTTCCAAAAGAAAAGTGAAAGGACTGTAGAAACCAACTACAGAAAGATATCTATTTACATTTATCCAAACCCCCAAACCAAAAATCCTTATGGTATAGCTATGTTTTTAAAAAGTTCAATTACATTAGGAAAGAAAAACAGCAAGGCCACTCTGAACAGGTAGTCTTCAAGAGAATGAAGAAAAATGACCTTTTATTATCTGCTTTGCAGCAGGCAATGGCTTAGATACATTTACTTTCATTATCTCACCTATGTGATGTAGTTCATAATCAAGTGTTTCTGCTCCTAATTTACAGACACTGAGCCTCATTTAATTTAGGTTACTTGGTCCAAAGACATATAAGCCAGCAGATACATCAGAACAGAATTTGAAATTTATGCTCCTTTATACCTCATTACACAATTTAGCAAGTAAAATGCTAAAGTCAAATTTCTTAGTATAGACTCCTCCATTTAAGGTTAATATTTTGAGATGGTAAGGGCATGTCTGCTACCAGTTTTTCCAGTAAGGAAAAGAAAACAAATGACTATTGTAGTTTATGTTCAAAAGATCTTTCCTTTAAGAAGCAAAAAGAGCTCAGTGGAGACTGTAGTTAAGATTATCAATAAAGCATTCAAAAAGCAACACAAGTGTTGACGTTAAAAAAAAAAAAAAAAAGGCCAGATATGATGGCTCATGCCTGTGATCCCAGTACTGTGGGAGGTTGAGTTGGGAGAGTCACCTGAGGCAAGGAGTTTGAAATCAGCCTGGACAACATAGTGAGACCTCTATCTCTATTTTTTAAAAAAGCATTAACTTGCAAAACACTAAATGTGTTAATTTCTTTTACAAATAGATACAGGTATTTTTCTCTACTGCACTATTTTGTGGGTTTGCTTTTTTTTTTTTTGGAGGCGGAGTCTCACTCTGTCACTCAGGCTGGAATGCAGTGGCATGATCTCAGCTCACTACAACCTCCGTCTCCCGGAATCAAGTGATTTCCTGCCTCAGCCTCCTGAGTACTGGGATTACAGGTGCCTGCCACCATGCCCAGCTAATTTTGGAAATTTCAGTAGAGAAGGGTTTCACCACGTTGGCCAGGCTGGTCTTGAACTCAAGTGATCCACCTGCCTTGGCCTCCCAAAGTGCTGAGATTACAAGCATAAGCCACCACACCCGGCCTGTATTGTTAACGTTCATTAAAATATGTACATAGGACCCACAATTAGAGATTATATAATTATTTATACAATTTATTTTCATAAAGGAATATTAACTTTTGAGCCACCCATATCTGATAATACTGAAGGCACTAGCCTCAGGGAAAAATTATTAATGATATGGCAATGAACCCACAAAGTTACAGGCTTCAAAACCACAAAGTTCCAGGAAACATTATATTATGTTTCAGTGGTAATTTAAAAGATTCAGCTTTCTGGCTTAGCATTTAATGGAAAGCTATTGCTTACATTATTCAATAAATAAAATCTCCTGTGGTAAATGGTGGTGGCTTGGAGCTTTTGGTTATATTGTAAGAATCTAGGTAGAGATGACTGCTGCCACACTTATTCCAGGCAAATCATGCCAAGTTCTCTCCACTACCCCGCGATGGAATCTACCACTACACTACCCGTCTAGTTACTTAACCTAAATTATGCAGGGAGCACTTAAAACCAACAACTGAATTCCTCTAAATACTGAAACTACAAATCTTAAAACAGAAAATCAATACCTTTGTGAAATACAGAAGCCTTGTAAAATATAAACAGTATTAGCTGTGTACTGAAAATCAACACCTTTGTAAAATATGGAAGCCTTGTAAAATACAAATGGTACTAACCGTGCACTGTTTAGTAAGATTCTTTAAGTTACTGTTCCCTTCAATTAAAATTAGTGATCAAAACAATCTTGATTTTAGAAAATGATTAATGTTGCTTATCTGTTTCTCTCTGTAATATTAGGACTTGGTCACCAACTTTTTTTTTTTTTCTAGTCACCAACTTTTATATTTTGAGATAAAAATATAACCTAATGCCAGTTTCTACTTTTAGAATAGCTTTTATTTCCATATAACAGAATTTTTCCATCATTACCACTTAGTCCTTATCCATACGATTAAGTCAACACATAAATAAGATCTATGAATCATCTGGATAGGGATAAAAAATAAGAGTCTGCATAATGGCCTTGATTGCTAGATCAAGTTATTCTAATTAAAAAGAATCTTGTGGTTGTTACATTGAAACTGATTCTCAATACAGATCACAGGAAAATGTGGCTACCACTATAAAAATCACTTATTTTATAAACGGAAACCTCCTGAGACCTTATTTTTGGTTTTTTCAACATCTGCATTATTTCCATAGGATAATTATACTCAATTTAATAGAAGTACTCAAGATCAGTGGTGTTGTAAATAATTCAAGGGGTTCAAACCACTCCCCAAAATTCCTTTTGTCATTTTACTACAATAACTGATAGCTTATTATGAAAAATATCACCAGGTTACTTTTTAGACATATGAATATGAGTTACAAGTTGAGTGAAATACACTTAATGTTTTAAGATTAAATCAATTGCTGGCCAAGTGCAGTGGCTCACGCCTATAATACCAGCACTCTGGGAGACCAAACTGGGCAGAACACTTGAGGCCAGGAGTTTGAGACCTGCCTAACCAACATGGCGAAACCCTGTCTCTACTAAAAATACAGTATTTTTACAGGTGTGGTGGTGCACAACTGTAGTTCCAGCTACTCAGGAGGTTGAGGTACGAGAATTGCTTGAACTGGAAGGTGGAGGTCGCAGTGAGCTGAGATCACACTACTGCACACCAGCCTGGGAAACAGCAAGACTCTAACTAAATAAATAAATAAAATTAATCAATTGCCAATATGTAAATTTACATTCTATTTTTTTCTACAAACAAACAAACAAACATACTGGAGGTTGGGTGAGGTGTTGCACACCTGTATGGGAGGCTAAAAAGCAGGAGGATCGCTTGAGCCCAGGAGTTTGAGATCAGTCTCAATGACAAAAAATAAAACAAAACAAAACAAAAAAAAACCCACAAAACAACTAGAGAAATTCTGAAAGTTGAATGTTAAAAAAGGACTAACAATCATTTTAAAGGTTAACCATTCCAGAAAATCAGGCTTTTAGTCTATGTAACTCTAATATTTGAGTACATTATTTAATGCATGGTATATCTAATACTGATTAATAAACCAAATTATAATGTTAAATATGCCTTTATTCAATTCTCTGTATGCCTTTTGTAATCATGTTTGCATGTTTCTTAGTTATATTCAAAATAGTCTCTACAGATAAGGTGTGGGCAATTACTATTCCTACTTGGCAAATGGAAGAACACGTATAGAAGATGTGAAAGTGAATTGTTTATAATATCATACTGGTGAGTAGGGTCCGGGAGTTGAATTAAAACTTTCTAATTTTGAATAAAAACTTCCTAACCATGGGCTTAACTTTTTCCACTGTTTTGCCTTTATACACACCAGTTACTTTAAAACAATTTAAATACATTTGGCAAACTTTAGGTAAATCCTTAGTTTCTTATAGTAGGCCATTTTCTATCTCATCTGATTACTTCAGAACAGAATATAAATATACTTTTTTTTTAAGAGACAGGGTCTAGCTCTGCCCCAGGCTAGACTACAGTCATGTGATCATGGCTTAGTGCAGCCTCGAACTCCTGGACTCAAGTGATTGCCCCCCACCCCCACCTTAGCCTCTAGAGTAGCTGGGACTACTTGTGCATCACCATGCCCAGCTAATTAAAACTTTTTTTTTTTTTTTTTGTAGAGACAGGGTCTCATTCTGTTGACCAGGCTGGTCTTAAGCTCCTGGCCTCAAGCCATCCTACTGCCTTGACCTCCCAAAATGCTGGGATTACAGGCATTAGTTACCATGCTCAGCCTCAGATGTACTCTTTAGTGGTAAGACTAACCCTCTAAATCACAGTCGTGGTACTATGGGGGTTTACATTTTTTTTTTCTTTTTTTTTTTTTTGAGCCACATGATTGGAAAACAATTATCTTTACTTTTAACATAACCACTGTAGGCAAAATTTAGCTCTTTAGTAATATGCCCAGGATGAACGCTGAAATAGTAGTGATGAGAGAGAAACATGAACCCAGGGCAGTCTTACAGTCTAGTCTATCTTTGAGCTAATGAAAGATGAGGCCTGTTACAAATGCTAGCCATACTCTATCAATTCCACTGACTATATTCCATCCAAATTCTTAGTCAAACTACAAAATATGGATACTCTTCCACATACAGAGAAAATACTAGTTAGCTGCCATGATTTGTCATATGAATGACACAACCTAAAGTTATAATGTTATACTCTGTTTTCCTTTAATGCAAATCTTCCCAAAATAAAAGTTCTTGTTAAATGTACATGTGTGCTATAAAATCACATTTAAATTCAAGACTTCAAAAAACTCACCCTAGAGCCTGGAAAGAAGGAATTGAAAGTGCCCAGTGCATTGATAAGAACAGCAATCTGGAGGCAGACTCCCCAATGTAGTGCACATTCAGGTACTCAGGCATAGGAGAAGGCATGGTGAGCTAGTATGAACAGGGATTTAGGTAAATTATCTTAGGACTGAACGTTCCAATTTATCATTTCTTTGAAAAAGTTGAATGTAAACATAAGATATCAATGACAGCTAATATATTCACACAAAAAAAACTAATCTTGAAATAAGCTAAGTCACTAGAATTTACAGCTAACAGGGCTTAGAATAAATGAGTAGCCCATAGTTTCTAACAAAGCAATATTCAGACAAGCAGAATCTCAATAAATATCAACCATGATATTACCTGGTTATGTTACTTCCTGTCTTGGTCTAACAGTATGTTTCTTTTCCTTCCCTTTCTCCATTAACAGTAGCATACAACAAATTCAGTTTAAAGAGAAATCCTGTCCAATAAATGTTTCTGTCATTTAGGCTAAGGGGTTAACAAATTTAAATGCTTACAGGCCCAGGAGAGTACAGAGTACAACAGGCTTGCTGGTACCAACTGGGAAGAGCATATTCCCAGATAAAGGACACAGCTGTGAATTGAATTCAGCAAAACGAAAACATATGGAATTGTGGGATCAGCACTGCCAGCTCTTTCAGTTGTTCAAAGTGCACATTCTGTGTGAAATCTCCCTATTTAAAAAACCTGGCAGGCCAGGCACGGTGGCTTGTGCCTGTAATCCCAGCACTTTGGGAGGCCGAGGTGGGCGGATCACGAGGTCAAGAGATGGAGACCATCCTGGTCAATATGGTGAAACCCTGTCTTTACTAAAATACAAAAAGAAAATTAGCTGGGTATGGTGGCGCATGCCTGTAGTCCCAGCTACTCAGGAGGCTGAGGCAGGGGAATCGCATGAACCAGGAAGGCGGAGCCGAGATCATGCCACTGCACTCCAGTCTGGTGACAGAGCGAGACTCTGTCTCAACAAGAAGCCTGGTACTAAATAAAAAATTTTAAAACTTATTCTACAGGTATGTCTGTGGACATACTACTAGCAAGTGGTCAGTTTATATTGCTGATCCAGCTCTTTAAAATGTTTGACTATTGTTGAAACTTTTTTCTACTTTCTAATTACTGAAATGATTAATAGTATCAAGTACAGTGAAGGTACAGAAAACCAAGTACACACTACCGAGGGTGGGGTAATCTGGAGAACAATTAGTCTATTATCTACCAAAATTTTTAAAATAAGTACACCCAATAATACCACTTCTAAATCTCTGTTCCAGCAAAATACTTGCAAAATGCACAAAAAAGCATGGGTAAGGATGTCCATTACAGCTCTACATCTAACAATGAAATTAAATGCTGGCAACAACCCAAATTTCTATCACTAGAGAAAAGAATAATCCATGCTATCGAATATATGTGGGCATTAAAATTAGAAAGATAAATTGTGATGTAATGGCATACAAAAAAAAATTTCACAGGTAGCAGCTCTGAACCTGGGTAATGGTCAAAGCAAATAAAAGACAAAAAAAGAAAAAAAATCTCACAGACATCCAAGTAGAAAAAACTGTAAAACAGTATGTATTAAAATAGACGACCCAATTTATGTTAACGGATATGTATATATGTATACCTAAAAAGTACAGAAGGAAACGTGCCACACAGTTAACACTGGCTACCTCTGGGGTGGGGCAGGTAGATGTGCCCATATGTATTTTTCTGGGGAATGACTATTATAGCTTTCAGCAGATTCTCAAAGATAACTTTTTTTTTTTTGAGACCTAGTCTTGCTCTGTCACCCCTGCTGGAGTGCAGTGGATCGATCTCAGCTCACTGTAACCTCTGCCTCCTGGGTTCAAGCGATTCTCCTTCCTCAGGCTCCTGAGTAGCGGGGACTACCGGTGTGGGCCACCATGCCTGGCTAATTTTTTTGTATTTTTAGTAGAGATGAGGTCTTACCACATTGGCCAGCTTGGTCTCAAACTCTTTTTTTTTTTTTTTTTTGAGACGGAGTTTCACTTGTTACCCAGGCTGGAGTGCAATGGCGCGATCTCGGCTCACCGCAACCTCCGCCTCCTGGGTTCAGGCAATTCTCCTGCCTCAGCCTCCTGAGTAGCTGGGACTACAGGCACGCGCCACCATGCCAAGCTAATTTTTGTATTTTTAGTAGAGACGGGGTTTCACCATGTTGACCAGGATGGTCTCGATCTCTTGACCTCGTGATCCACCCGCCTCGGCCTCCCACAGTGCTGGGATTACAGGCTTGAGCCACCGCACCCGGCCTAAAACAACTTTTTTTTTTTTTTTTTTTTTTTTTTTTTTTGAGACGGAGTTTCGCTCTTGTTACCCAGGGTGGAGTGCAATGGCGCGATCTCGGCTCACCGCAACCTCCGCCTCCTGGGTTCAGGCAATTCTCCTGCCTCAGCCTCCTGAGTAGCTGGGACTACAGGCACGCGCCACCATGCCCAGCTAATTTTTTGTAGTTTTAGTAGAGACAGGGTTTCACCATGTTGACCAGGATGGTCTCGATCTGTTGACCTCGTCATCCACCCGCCTCGGCCTCCCAAAGTGCTGGGATTACAGGCGTGAGCCACCGCGCCCGGCGGTCTCAAACTCTTGATCTCAGGTGATCTGCCCACCATGGCCTCCTAAAATGCTGGAATTACAGGCATGAGCCACCACACCTGTCCCCTCAAAGGTGTCTTCTATCTACAAGTCTTGAGGTTTGAAACAAAGAAAAGTTCCATAAAAATGTAAAAAAAGAAAAAAAAAAAAACCCTGCTTTTGTTCATTATTAGCCACAAATGGTTTACCTATTTATAAATGGTACCAAGTAATAAAACAAAAAGGCCATTAATAGTGGAAATTCTGTAAGTGAAAAGAAAATTTTTTACGTATTTAAGAATGTTTGGCTCACACCTGTAATTCCAGCACTTTAAGAGGCCAAGGTAAGAGGATTGCTTGAGGCCAGTAGTTCGAGACCAGCCTGGGCAACATAACGAGACCCGTTTCTACAAAACAAAACAAAAAAAAAAACAACAAAAATTTTAGCGAAGTGTGATGGCTCAGGCCTGTTAACCAGCAACTCAGGAGGCTGAGGTGGAAGAGCTGCTTGAGCCTAGGATTTTGAGACCAACCTGGGAAACATAGCAAGACCCCATCTCTAAAAATAAAAGAAATTAGCTGGGCATGGTGGTATGTATCTATAGTCCCAGTTACTTAGCAGACTGAGGCAGAAGGATCCCTTGAGCCCAGCAGGTCGAGGTTGCAGTGAGCCAGGACTGTGCCACTCAATTCCAGCCTCGGTGACAGAGCAAGATCGAATCTTAAAAAAACAAAATGTATCATATCTTTTCAGGATTACCTAAGGTGAATAAAAAGAAAGTCTGAAAAATTAGGGGAAATACCAAAAATTACTAGTTTTGGGGGAAGGGGCAAGTAAGGCACAAAACAACAACAAAAAAATCCTTTGCAGGGCCAGGTGTGGTGGCTCAGGCCTGTAATTCCAGCACTTTGGGAGGCCAAGGCAGGCAGACCACTTGAGGTCAGGAGTTCAAGACCAGCCTGCCAACATGGTGAAACCCCATCTCTACTAAAAATACAAAAAGTTATCCAGGCGTGGTGGTGCATGCCTGTAATCCCAGCTACTCGGGAGGCTGAGGCACGAGAACAGCTGGAATCTGGGAGGTGGAGCTTGCAGTGAGCCAAGATCGCACCACTGTACTCCAGCCTGCGAGACAGAGCAAGGGAGACAAAGCAAGACTCTGTCTAAAAATTAAAAACAAAAAAACACAAAAAAACCCCAACTTTTGCAAAATAGTTTATAATTGCATTTAAATAAAATATTAATACTTGAAATGTATAAACACTGGATATAAAGGTTTTGATTACACAACAGTGGTGGTAACTGAAAACTTTCTGCTGCATTTAATCATAAAATGGAAATAGTTTACAACACACACTAAAGGGACTCGTTATTTAAAATACATATCATATTGGGTTTAAGGAGAAAATGTTTGATAATCTGTTTTACATACTTAATAAAACTCTAGTATTTTGAATTAGAAAGCTAATGCTGGCTGAAGAAACAACAGTCCATTTAATAAGTCTTTGAGACTAAAAAGACAAAGATTTCTTCCTATCTTATAAAGAGACTGACCTTCCCCAAAATTCCTGTGGATCTTTAGGTTTATAAAATGAATTATACACATTTTTCAAATTAGAAAAGTTCAATATATTGAACTGAATTTTTTACGTGTTGACAAGAACTAAACCTAATCAATCTATTTTAGCAGTTATTACTTGCCTCTACACTTATCTTTCTAGCAGTTTCTGTATTGAAATCTGACAACAGCCTGCTCAATACAGCCTTTAAAAAAATCACTGGATGGCTGCGTGTGACGGCTCACACCTATAATCCCAGCACTTTGGGAGGCCAAGGTGGGTGGATCATTGGAGCTCATGAGTTCGAGACCAGCCTGGGCAACATGATGAAACCTCATTAAACCTATTAAAAAATTAAAAAATCAGCTGGGAGTGGTGGTGCATGCCTGTAGTCTCAGCTACTCAGGAGGCTGAGGTAGGAGGATTGCTTGAGTCTGGAAGGCAGAAGTTGCAGTGAGCCGAGATCCTGCCACTGCACTCCAGTCTGGGCTATAGAGCCAGGATGTCTCAAAAAAAAAAAAAAAAAATTTCCTTGAAGGCTGACCACAAGCACAGTGGCTCAGGCCTATAATCCCAGCACTTTGGGAGGTTGAGGTGGGAGGATCATTGCTTGTGGCCTGGAGTTTGAGACCAGCCCGGGCATAGTGAAACCCCAATCTCCACACACATACAAAAAAAATCATTTGAGTTAGGAGATCTGGATTCTACTCCCAACTTTTCATTAATCACTTCCCCTAATTACCAGTAGACTCTAGATTACACATTCATTCAGTAACTATTTACTGAGAGTTCACTGGGAGCAAGTGCTATTATCTCAGTGGAAGAATAAAAACTGAATGAGCTACAGAAAGGGCTAAGAAAGGCAATGTCATGTGTGAGAAACATGGGCAGCTGGATCAGAACATGGAGGGTCCTAAAAGGTCAAATTATAGAGACTGGATTTAATTTTATAACATGGGCAATGGGAAGCTACTGAAGGCTGATAAGTAGCAAAATGACATAATTTGATTTTTAACAAATATAACACTGGTACCAGCACACAGGACGAAATGGAAAAGAAAGACTGGAAGCAAAGGTATTAGGGTAACAAATCAAGAAAGGAATTTTAAAAGGCCTAAAATATGGTGAAGGAAATGAAGAAGAAGGCAGAAATGCAAGCAACAGAATGGTTAAAATTCTGTTACGGAACAAGAGGAGTGAAGCTTAAGGAGAATGATTGCCTCCAAAGTTGCAAACATGGGTGACCAAAAAGACTGATTCTAATATTAAGATATTAAACATTTTAGAAATAAGTATATGCAATTTCCAAAACCACCTCACTTCTGTTGCATATACGTAATTTCTAACATGGAAATATGATCTACTGTAATTAATCTAAGATTTTAAGAATCAAGTGAAATAAGGTACATGAAATCATACCAAAAATTCTGAAGCTTAACAAAAATCTTTTTTTCTTCTGTGATCGAGTACACACACACACACACACACACACACACACACACACACACACACACACACACATATATATATATTTGGGATGGAGTCTCACATTGTCACCCAGGCTGTAGTGCAGTGGCACAATCTTGGCTCACTGTAATCTCTGCCCTCTGGGTTCAAGCACTTCCCCTGCCTCAGCCCAGGAGGCTGAGTAGCTGGGACTACACACATGCGCCACCATACCCGGCTAATTTTTTTGTATTTTTAGTAGAGACAGGGTTTCACCATGTTGGCCAGGATGGTCTCGATCTCCTGACCTCGTGATTCGCCCATCTCGGCGTCTCAAAGTGCTGAGATTACAGGCGTAAGCCACCTCGCCTAGATTTTTTGTTTCGTTTTTTTGAGATGGAGTCTCATTCTGTTGGTTAGGCTGGAGTGTAGCAGTGCGATCCCGGCTCACTTGCAACCTCCACCTCCCGGTTCAAGCAATTCTCCTGCCTCAGCCTCCTGAGTAGCTGGGGTTATAGGCATGTGCCATTAAGCTCAGCTAATTTTTGTATTTTTAGTAAACATGAGGTTTTGTCATGTTGGCCCGGCTGGTCTCAAACACCTGACCTCAGGTGATCTGCCCGTGCAGGCCTCCCAAAGTGTTAGGATTACAGGCATGAGCCAGTATGCCCAGCCAATAAAAATCTTAACTATTACTATTGCCTTTGATTTTTCAAAATCAAACTTCAAGCTTCATTATTAGATGATTTCTCCTTATTACCAAGATTGCTTTGAACAAGATACTAAAAATCTCTAAATCTCTTTCTTCAGCCACAAAATGAGAGTAAAAATTCTATCCCTGCCAGGTGTGGTGGGTCATGCTTGTAATCCCAGCACTTCGGGAGGCCAAGGTGAGAGGATTGCTTAAGGCCAGGAATATGAGACCAACTTGGGCAAAAGTGAGATCCTATCTCGACAAATACTTTTTTTTTAATTAGCTGGGTGTGGTGGCACATGCCTATGGTCTCAGCTACATGAGAGGCTGAAGCAGGAGGATCCGTTGAGCCCAGGAGGTTGAGTCTGCAGTAAGCTGTAATTATGCCACTAAACTTCTGTCTCAAAAAGAAAAAATTAAAAATTCTAACAACAGATGTGGTGAGGCTCAAAGGAAAGAGTGTATGTGAAAATAGGCTGCAAACTACAGTGTACGTAGAAATGCAACAGTGGAACAAAATGTTATTCAGCTCAGCAAGTAAGAGAGGACTGAGGGGTTTGATTCCAGATGTAAGGTCTTGAAACCCATGACAAGAAAACTTCAATGTGAGAACCATGAAATTACCAGACTCTAGCAGCTAAGTGGGGAAATCACAAAAAGTAAAACATTTGACTTCACATGGCTGTAAGACTCCGAGAAAAATGGAGCAGTCCTTTGCAGGAGAGCAACAAAATTTTTAAGTGCTGATTGTGCAGATACTCAGGAAGACAAAATGGAATGACAAAAGCCAATCCTAGAAAGAAAAAAAAAGTTCTAATTTGCCAAATTCTTCTGTCCAAAACATTTCAAGACATCAAAAACTTTGAGGACCAACATCAACAATAAACAGGTAAACTACCCCTACTTTCTAAAGAGCACTCTGTCGTTTTCCCTCACAATGGGTCTGTTTCTACATCTCATTTCATCCTTCCTCCCATTTAAATCCAAAGCAGAACATAAACCTAAGAAAACAAAAGAAAGTTTTTTATTTAGAATAAGGAAGAACAATGGGAAAAATCAAGTTTTGCCTTGCTCCACCCTTGTCCATAAATCTTACCATAATTTTTTAGAATGACATTAAGTTTTCCTGTAGAGTGTAAAAAAAATTTTGTAATTTTTTCCATGTAAATTTTCTTTGGTAAAATTTTACATAAAAGTTTCTTCACTGATCTATTTTATTGACGACATCAAATTATACTATTTTAAGCCACTGCGTTTTCTCTGTGGCTATTTCTATCAAGGTGAATTTTATAAATACAAATATTACTTTGCACTCACAATTTCTACTAATGATACATGCATTTATTTGACAGCTGTACATCTTCTAAGAAATCCATGGACTTTTATAATCTATCGTAAAAGTACGAGAAGTCACCCTCAGGCATTCCAGGGCTGCTATATATTGCTAAGTGAAATCTATATGGATTCAATCCCTTTGCATACATCTTGCTAACAGTATTCTTAGCTAAGTGGTTAAAATGGAGGAGTCAAAACAATAGGATCTTAATGTGGGGTCTCCACAGTGAGCATGTCTGTAACTCTATCCAAGCATTATTGAATGACAAATCAAATAGTAGAAAGTGATTTTCTAGTCTTCTACATTATTTCTAGTTTTCTGCATGTATTATTTCTGTCATAATTAGGTTGATGCAGAAGTAACTGCAATTGTTGCCATTACTTTTAGGGGAACAAAACAAATTACAAATGTACCTTCTCCAAAGTGGCTAAAAAGTGTAAGTTAAAAACTAAAAGTTAAAATGTATTAAATAATTTGTATCTTTTAAAATTTTAATTTATTACGTAATTTTTATTTATTATAGAGACGAGGTCTTGGCATGTTGCAGAGGCTGGTCTCAAACTCCAGGGATCAAGCAATCCTCTGGCCTCAGCCTCCCAAAGTAGTGGGATGACAGGTGGGACCCGCTGCACCTAGCCAATTTGTATCTTATAATAATGCAGAAAGCCAGCTAATTAGAGTGATACATAACAAATGGAGTCTTTGTAGTTACTATGGTAAGAGCAAAATATCTGGGTCTTAATTGATTTACTATAAAACAGTAGTTAGGCATTGAACAAAAGCAACACATGCAAAAGTCCTTAGCCTCCTGCATAGATGTGCACTAACATGCCCAGCTTATTTGGTATCTTGATAAACAGAAAGCCTGAAGAAATTTTGTTTCTATATCCAGATGAGTATGTTTTTTCTGTTTTGTTTTTACTGAGATGGAGTTTTGCTCTTGTTGCCCAGGCTGGAGTGCAATGGCATGATCTTGGCTTACCCACAACCTGTACCTCCCGGGTTCAAGCCATTCTCCTGCCTCAGCCTCCCGAGTAGCTGGGATTGCAGGCATGTGCCACCACACCTGGCTAATTTTGTATTTTTAGTAGAGACAGGATTCATCCATGTTTATCAGGCTAGTCTCGAACTCCTGACCTCAGGTGATCTGCCAGCCTCGGACTCCCAAAGTGCTGGGATTACTGGCATGAGCCACCACACCCAGCCCAGATGAGTATGTTTTAGCTGCTGTTTTGAAATTCTATCAGGGATATTTCTGACTTTAAAAGCACAACAAAACATACTTTGATTTTTGAAAGGTGGATCAAAATCAAGCAATACAACATACAAATTAAAAAAACATATAGAAATACCCTGAAAGCTACATGTGAATCGCTGAGAAGTGGCCCCTCTTTTTCGGTATAATTTATGCTTGATTCTCCAGGGATGAGGTGTACACTTCCTTCCATGCATGCTGCTGAGCTCTGGCAGGCTGTGCTCTCTCCAGGATTCAATGCTTTTGCAAGAGTGTCAAATGCCCTGTAAGAAGACATCAGAAGCTATGAGCCTGACCAAACACCACAATAAAATAACAACTCTATACAGGATTCTAGAATTAAAATTTAAGCCTAAAAAACTGGCCGGGCTGATCTAGAACTTCTGACCTCAAGTGATATTCCTGCCTCAGCCTCCCAAAGTGCGGGGATTACAGGCGTGAACCACCATGCCCGGCCTAAAGTCTTTTTAAAATCTTGTATAATTAAGGGGGAGAAACATCTTTATATTTTCGTATGACAATAGGCTTTTAAAAGTTATATATTTTGTCGCTTGAGCCCAGGAGGGAAGGGCTGCAGTGAGCTATGATCACACCACTGTACTCCAGCCTGGGTGATATAGCAAGACCTTGTCTCAAACAAAATCATTTTTAATTAATCATTTTTAAAATACATTATATATTTGACACACAAGACTATTAGCCCATTTATTTTGTATACAAAAGTTACTTAGAACAAGGATAAGAACTTATGTTGACTTTAATATACACAGTACAGTAGGTCTTAAATTTTATTTAAAAATTCAGAAAACATTTTACTCATGTTTATTTTGTCACACTGTCACTCAGGCAGGAGTGTAGTGGCACGATCATGGCTCACTGTAATCCTGAACTCCTGGGTTCAAGCAAGCGATCCTCTGACGTCAACCTCCCGAGTAGCTGGGATTACATGTGTGCAGCACCATGCTCGGCTAATTTTCAAATTCTTTGTAGAAACTCCGTCTCACTATGTTGCCCAGGCTGGTCTCCAATTCCTGGACTCGAGTAATCCTGCCGCCTTGGTCTCCCAAAGTGGTGGGATTATAGGCATGAGCTACTGCAGCCAGGCAGAGAGCATTTTAAAACGTGTGGTCACGTAGCTAAATCTAAACTGTAACAATTTGATACTAGAATAATGATGAACTAATGTTAGCAAATAATTACTCAAAATAGTTCTGCTTATTTTTCAACAATAGGCCTCCTAGACTTTCTTAAAATCTCATGTTCAACAAAGTACTACTTATTGTGACTCTTAAATATAGTTCATTACTGAATACTACATTTATTCAGTAATTATATACATATGTATATATAATATGTTGTTGGTGGTGGTGTTTTCTGAGATGGCATCTCGCTCTGTTGCCCAGGCTGGAGTGCAATGGCATGATCGTGACTCACTGTAACCTCCACTTCCCAGGTTCAGCGATTCTCCTGCCTCAGCATCCCGAGTAGCTGGGAATATAGGCATGCGCCAACACACCCAGCTAATTTTTTCAATTTTAGTGGAGATGGGGTTTCACCGTGTTGACCAGGCTGGTCTTGAACTCCTGACCTCAGGTGGTTCACCCACCTCAGCCTCCAAAAGTGGTAGGATTACAGGGTTCACCCATCACGCCTGGCCAAATCAGTATATATTTATCACGATCTTTTTTCTTCTCTTAGAGATGGGGTCTAGTTGCTGGTTGACTCAAACTCCCAGGCTGAAGTGATTTTCCTGCCTCAGCCTCCTGAACAAATAATGTGTTCAGCTTATTCAATATTTTAGATGATAAACGTAGTGTGGGAAAAGCCTGAAGAAATTGTTTCTGTATCCTAAGCATTAGTATTTATAAAATGAAAAACAATTCTGATACTACTTTCTTCAAGTGTAACTTAAAACTGAATATTAATGTAAAAGACTTAGTTGGTTAAACTAATATTACAACTCAGTTGGTTAAACTAAGTCTTTTACATTAATTTTCATCACTAGAAATTGAAAAGCAGGATCAACATGATTGCCTAGAAAGATAAATGTTTCACTCTTTACACACATCTTTATCTTTAGAAGAAAACAATTCCTAAATTTTAAGACTAATTTCTTATCTTAATTTCTAATCTTATAATATTCACTTACTGATTTTGTTATTTAGAATATAACTTTTCATACTGAATGTAGGTTTTCAGTTAAAACTTACCATGCCTTAAATTTTCTAAGTGAGAACAGAAATGTAGGTTGAGCATTCCTAATACTAAAACCTGAAATGCTCTAAATTCAGAAACTTTTTGAGTACCAACATGATGCCACAAGAGGATATTTCATACCTGATCTCTCATAATGGATTCAGTCAAAATGTATGTGCATAACAGTGTATTTAGTGCTTATTTCCTGTCCCCAAGGGAAAAAAGACCAGCTGAGATAAAATCTTTTCTGCACACGCCCAGATTCCCCCAAGCAAGCACGCCCACTAAGGATAATAAAATGGCACATGTTCGGGCCAGACATGCCAATGGCAGGTTCCCTGATTCCCCATAAGGAGCTAAAACCTATGTGCATTACTCACTGTTTTTTTTTTT